CATATTGAGGACGTCAGCAGCAAAATGTTGAAGTCGTTGAGCATATTCTCCCTCATTGTAGCTGGTGGACGAAAGGCACATTTCGTCTGATGGCTTATAAAAGTTGTGAGGCAAAGGTTGGCACAAGCCAAGCTGCCTAACCACCAGATTAGGCTGATAACACAGGAGTGTTACGCCATCATTAGCTCCTACCATAGATGTTATGAGCCTAGGGTTAAGAAAGCTTGCCAAATGGCTTTGGATTCAGGGATCTGCGTAGGATCGACATAAGGAAATGGTCGACTGAACCACTCAGGACCATGTGGTCTAGAGGCAAAGGGCGCCATGCTTGGCTGAAAAGAAGTGCACCTAAAGAAAAATTTCAGGTGTTTCTCAAGCGACTCCTCTTGAGTCATGTCATTGTTAGAAAGCGTCATTGCAGCAAGACGAAGGCTTTCGTTGGCACATTGGGCAATTGCAGTTTCTTGTGCTTCAGAAAGATGCAGCTTGAGCTGGCTCACAAAAGTTGCATTTAACCACAATTGAAGCAGCCAGAAAGTCCCAGCAAGCAGATAGCTGGTAGTAGATGAAAGTTAGGTCATATGAGCGATCCCCACGTTGAGCGTTTCATAGAGCGACTCCAAAATAAGTTCGCTCAAGCATATGTTTCGACCCAGATGTAGGTGATGAGCTAACGCAATGAATCATTTAGCTACCTTCAGACTTGGAAAGCCACAAGGCCAAGAAGGCAATGTGCTCTTCGTCAAACACAGCGTCGACATCTTTAGAGTGAAAACGCTCCATATATTTGGTGAAGCCAGCAATGTCCTTTTCAAAAGGGATGATATTTTTGTCTGCTTCAGTGGAAAAGAACGCTTCACTTGTAAGGAGGAGATCAGTGATGGTCGCAATGTCGAACAGGATAGGAGTAAGCATCCCAGCTGCAAAATGAAAAGTGTTTGTGGAGCCTTCTCAGAAATAAAGTGCAGAAATCAACATGTGATTGCAATAACTAGGGTCAACCCTAGAAAGCTGAATCAAGTCAAAAATTCCTTGGACCTTCCAAACGTCACTTTTAACTTTCTCCACTTTATTCAACCATGCAATGTAATCTTGGTTAAGAGAAAGAGCAGAACGAAAGACTTTAGATGTTCGATAAATGTGTGAAAAATCTATAATCTCTATTGATATGGGGTTTTGTGGTTTTATGAGTGGAGAAGTAACTTTCCAATTGTTTAGGTGTCCTAATCTCATCAGGAATAGGCTCCAATAGATCGTAAGCAATGTTATTACAAATGAAGGGAAGCAACAGTTAAAAGCGAAAAGTTTGGAGATTTCGTGTTGGAGTTGGTTCCAAAATGAAGGTATTTTGATTATGAACGAAGAACTCACTCATGTTGGAAACCAGTTCAATTTATTGGAGAGCTTGAATGTGCTCAGAGATTTAGCTTTAAGCGACCATGAAGATGGTGGAAAGTTTTTTTCTAGGTAGAAATGAAAGTAAGAATTTCTTTTGTGCACGAAAATAAAGAGCTTGAGTATGCAGAGAAAATGTAGAGAGGAAAATAAAGAGATGAAAGGAGTATTTATACCATAAAAGAAACCAAACGTTTGAGAAAAAAGTGAAAAAATATGGCTACACGACCGACACGTGTCAAACAGGTTGCGACTGAGTTGTAGGAGTTGGTTAGTTAAGGGCCACGATTATCCTAGAAAGTTGAAGCTAGAAAGTGGGAAAGTGGTTATGTGATCACTGATGTAACGTTTGAGAAAAAAAGGTCATGATTACGATGACGTCACTTCGCACTAAGAAAAGGATTAAAATGTTTGTTTATGTTCTTTCAGTCAAAAAGGACATTTTGAGGGACAATTTATTGACTAGGATTTTCACAAAAAGTTAAAATTCAACCAAAAGCCAAAAGGTTCTTTGAGAACTTAGAATTATAGGAAGTCAACTACAGAAACATTCGACCGGGAGAGATTTCACAAATAATCAATTGGACTTGTGAACGCAGTCGACCAAAAAAGACGTCTCATGAGGAATGGATTGGGCCCAGAAATGTTAAAAAGCCCAAAGAGTGCATAACTAGCAAAACAAAGTGTTATAGATGAAGAACATGAGTTCGATAACATGGATGGAGAACGTGGGTTCGTGGAGGAAAGTTACAAGGGACACGTGGCTTGTAAAAAAGTGAAACCCGCTGAAAAGTAGTTATTTTTGTGTATTATAAATAAAGCACTTGATGCATAATATCAGGGGTTCAAACTTTCACATTTTTACACGCTAGTCACTCAGAGTACCCAAGCGACCGAGCAAAATGAATCAAACTAGGGCAATGTACGTTTGAATCAACTCATTTTTAACTATTTTAATGTTATGTCATCTATTTGTACAGTTTAAAACGTCTTTTGTTTTATTTTACAAGTCCTGCTTTATTGCTTTTAAACTCGTTTCGCCTTAGTTGAACGAACCCTTTTGAACATACTTTGTGAAAACACTCAAAAACTGAAGCATTATACTGAAATTCCCTGGTCGACCTCGTCAGTAAACTTTTTATTAAGAGACCAGCATTGTTTGCCAAAACCAGATATAAACACACCCTTAGTCAGATGGCAAACTAAGGTGGTTAATAGGTGTTCATGAACCTATTTGAGATGTGTGATTGGCCTGAAACCACTGTTGGTCTAAATTGTTTAAACAATCATGAACTAAACTGAAGTATAGCAATGCCTATCACCCTTAATCAGATGGGCAAACTGAGTTGGTTAATAGGTGTTAAAAACTTATCTGAGATGTGTGACTGACTTGAAACCAAAGCAGTGGCATAAGTGGGTGGCTTGGGTAAAGGACACTCCTTTTTCAGGAGTGGATGAGGTCAACAAGTTAACAGCTTAGAAGAATGTGATACTCAAAGAGTTGCAGGATCAGTTGCTTAAGGCTTAAGACTTGATGAGAAGCCAAGCCAATAAGCATCGAAGAGAGGTTGAATATGAGGGGGGAGAGATGGTGTTTTTGAAAATTCAACCTTACAAAATAAAGAAGTTAGCAAAAAGGCTCAATCAAAAACTCAGTCCCAAGTTCTATAGGCCATATGAAGTAATCCAAAAGATAAGTGCAGTGGCTTATAAATTGAAATCGCATGAAGACACTAGGGTACATCTTGTGTTCCATGCATCTTTGTTGAAGAAAGTTGTCACACCTTCTGTGGAGCCTCAACCACTGCCAGCTTTGTATGAATGAGGAGTGACACTTAGAACCAACCCCTGAGAGAGTTATGAACTCTAGAAGGAATGAACACGGAGGGGACAGTAATATAATTTGATCAGAAACCAACTCTCAACTCAACAACTCTTTAGCTCTTCGCAATAGAGCATTTTATAATAACATTGAAAAGTCAAAAGCAATGTACCACAAAACACCGTATGAAATAATTCAAGATGATAAACAAACAAAACAACACTCAAATCAAAGTTCCACTCAAATCAAAGTTCCTTAGAATAATTCCATGAAAACAGTGAAACAATATTAACTTGTCCAACATATGATATTCCTTAGAATAATTCCATGAAAACAGTGAACCAAGTATTAACTTATCCAATATATGATGATGAGAACAAAATGGAGACTTAATTAAGAATGCATAAATTCTATACTTATGAAAAAAGGTACATTCCAAAACGCAGAATTTAATGATAAACATTAGTATTATAACAGTAAATCAGAAATAGAGAACAAAAGACAATGACAAGTAGAGAAGAGTGAAAGGAAAAATCATAGAACAAGAAAATAGTCACAATATGCTTACAATACAACCTTACTCTCATACAAATTGATAAAACTAAAATCAACAAAACAACATCTAATCCTAATCTGTAACATTGACATAAAACAATTGTATCTACAGATGTTAGATATTAGCTATAAGCACACATGACACGTCAACACCGGTAATAACTTGAAAAAATGAAAAAAAATTGAAAGTACTCTCATATACCCAATTGATAAAACTAAAACCAATAAAACATGTAATCCTAATTTGTAACATTCACATAAACAAATGTAATAACAAATGTTTGATATTAGCTATGAAGCACGAATAACAGGACACGACATCGACACATCAACTCTGGTAATAATTTGAAAAAAATGAAAATTTTGAAGGTATCCCACAAGTGTCCGTGTCCGACTCTGACACAACATAGAAATGTCATTTTTCAGAGGTGTCGGTGCTACCGAAGATATTAGGATTACCTAAACATACAGATGACCAGGAATCCATAACGAGAAGTTTGCAATTCTTTAAACGTGTGAGGGGAAGAAAACTATCTCTATTCTTCTAGTGATAAAAAAAAGAGTATAATCTCAATGAGGCAGCTACACTTTAACAGTTGAAAGAGATAGGGGCCTTGCTCACCCATTTATGAGTGCTTCATAATAACAATATGAATTCAGCCCAATAACCGTGATCACATAATTGAGACTAACAATAGATATGCATTTCAATAAATTGTGATCATTAAATGGATCAACACAGCGACCAAATAAATGATTGTGACTTCACCACTCTCTTCACTAATGGTATGTCATTCTAACGAAGGTTTTAAATAATGGTAAAGTCAAGGCTTTCAAGATTCCGATAGGTACATATGTTCAAATAGTCATCGCAGTCGTAGCGGTGTGAACTAACCACAATTGTTTTTTCATCATAAAAATGGTAAATAACAGTATCGATATCGGCACCTTCCAATATCGTTTTGTGCGACCGTCTTCGCAGGACAGTTTTTTAAAACATTGTCATAAATTTCTATCAAATGTGATTCACTGATTAAACAACACCAATTTCTATCTAGTATCATCTATATTATGATATAAAATGCCATCCAAAATTTAATAAACAGGCACGATCATCATATGAAAAATTACACTTAAAAGAGAATTTACAACTTTTTCCCAGTATAGTACATTGGTGCTATTGCCTATTGTTGATAGAATACAATACAAATCATACCTTTCCCGTGCATCAAGAGGGAGACGAAGAAGAAGATGAAGAAGATGGAAAAACATCTTTGACAGCAGAAGCAGCAGACAAGTAATTAAGCGTATTCTTCAAAGTCTCCTTCTCCCTCACCAATCTCGCCGCAGTATCTTCCAATTCCAACAGCGCCTGTTGCTCTCTCGGCGCGCCTTCAAACGTGCTTCCAACAAAAAACGAAAACGGCGTCGGAAACAAGTTCCTCCTCAAATCACCAACCTCTTTCTCCGCCTTTCCACCTAACCGATTCGATAACCGAATAACATCCTTCATAAACGTCTCCACCTCGCTCGCCAAACCGTCAACATCCACGTCAGCAGACGGAGAAGGCCGATCCTCCAACCACGCCACACTCGCGACAAGGTAGGGTTTCGTCCGAACCACTTTCTTCACACGAAAACGCTCCTGGCCTTTGCAGATCAAGAAGAATCGATCGTCAACGAGTCTTTCGTGTTTTATAACTTCTCCGACGCAACCGACTTCCGCCGTTCCGGTAACTGCGTCGGTGTAGATGACGCCGAACCGGAGATCAGTGTGGAGGAGTGTGTGCATCATGACGCGGTAGCGAAACTCGAAGATCTGGAGAGGAAGTATAGCTCCGGGGAAGAGAACCAAAGGAAGAGGAAACAGAGGGAGTTCCGTTACGTCATCTTGATTAGGAGAGTTCGCGTTGTTATTCTCCGGGTAAAACGACGCCGAGCATCGGAGAATAGAATCAGTCTTACGGCGGCGAGAGTGGTGGAGAACATTTAGATGCGACGGCGGCGGGATTTTAGGGTTTAAGGAAAGTGGAGTGAGGTTTAACAGAGGATTGTACGGTAGAAATGAAGATGCTGGTGAAGAGATAAGGTGTGGAATTGGGAATGCCATTTCTAAAGTTAAGATCAGAGAGAGAAAAAGAAGAGAATCGAATTAATCGGAGAAACTATAGGTTAAAATTTGATGAATGTGTGGTCGTTAGAATTTCCACTTGGTCATTCACCATTGTCTTATGTCAAATTCAATCGCAGTCACTATAGTTTCTAAACTGAATTATTTTGATTAAGTCATAGTCACACTCAGATTTGAAAAAATCACAAAAATGAAGGTGTTGGAAAAATTGAAAAATCCTGTGGTTTTGAGCATTACCAAAGATATGTGGACGAGATGATAATAGTGTGGATGGAGATGGTTTTAGAGATTTTTTTTATCTTTAGATTAAATATTAAATATGTTAGAAGTCCCTATAAATATATGATTCTAGAATTTTAGTCTTGTACATCTCAGAAATATTAGTATTGATCGGGTCATGAAGTCGGCGGAAAAAAGATAAGAATCAGTGATTGACTCTTAATAGTGATAGGTATTCGGAAAGAGGTATAGCTCGGCTAAGGATGATAACCGACTGATCTGCTGTCACGCACGGACCAAAACGAATAATTTTAAAATTGTAGTTAGCGGCAATGACTCGAGTCGTATCACTATGTTTGTTGTATTATTATTATTAACCAACTGAATGGAACAATGGGGGATTTTGAGTTTAGGATTCAATTCAGAAAATAATACAAAAAAAGTGATTATCAAATAAGCTCAAACGAATCAACCTACTGTTTGGGTTCTCAACTTATCATCGATAATTACAAATCTAATCTCTAACCAAATTCTAATCCCTATTCGATTATAGTATCAATTAACAAGCGAAATTGACATTATGGGATGTAAATTCCTAATTTCCGAATTAAACAAACGGATTAAAGTATCGTGAATTAAGAAAACACGATTACGCGGATTAAGCAAAAGCGATTATATTATAGGAACACACAATCATGGAATTAAATCAACAACATTCTATATAACTCGAATTAAGCAAACAAGAAATATAGAAGAATATTGAAAGGGAAAAGAAATTGGATTGAGATTATAAAACATCAAAGTTTTGGCGGAAACATGAATAGTAGATCGATCTTTGGTTCTTAGTTCTCCCTTACAAATATACCAAACTCCGTAAAATAATTCGTGAAAAGTAAAACTAGAGATTAGTGAACAGTAATTTGGCCACTAGATATAGGGAAATAGTGAGTTCGGGTCTTAACCCAACTGGGTCATAAAACATTAAAAATCCCGACCCATAATCAGTCTGAAATAACTAAATTTATAAAGTCAGAAACTTTAACGAACTACTAGGACTTGTACACTCTGAATCAGCTTTTGACTCCAACATGAAAGTTATAGTTCTTCCTCTTAACTTTCCAACGCATATCAGAACACGTCGATCCAATTCTTGTAGCTTCAGTTATGATCCAAACAGTGGACATGTATTAAGTAACCGCTAAAGCTGAAAACAACAAACGAAAATAGATTAAAGGCAATTAAAGACTTAATTTTAAAAACACAATAAAAACAATTAAATAAACAAAACAAACAAGGGAAATGCCTAAGTACAAACATAAGAGAATGTGCATTAAAATGCACTGATCATTGATCATCAGCGTCTTCGGGTAGCTACCCATATGCCTCACCAACCCGGATGATGTTCGTGACCGGAATTCACTTGCCCGTAGCCGATCATCAACCCGACTCATTAATGTAATTGTAACACCCCGATTTAATTGAAATTATTTTATTAGAATAAAATAGATGATGAGGCGTGCTTATGTGTGTTGATGATCCTATGATGCGTTTTGATGATTATGTTGAAAGGTTAAAAGTAGTGATAATTGAAGAAGTTAGGGGTGTATGACTAAAAATGTAGAGACATGGGGTGAATGAAGAATATTAGCAACATTATTATTATTATTATTATTATTATTATTATTATTATTATTATTATTATTATTATTATTATTATTATTATTATTATTATTATTATTATTATTATTATTATTATTATTATTATTATAAGAGATAAATAGTATTTTATAATATTAATAATTAATAATTAAAATAAACCTAGTAATAAGAGGAGGGGAAAATTGGTATATAGATTTAGGGGTCTAAAGTGTATAGTTAGGAAAACATAAGTAAAAATAGGAGAAATAGATCGTAGAAGTGAGAAGAGAGGAACGAAGAGAAGAGCATACAAGCTAGGGCGAGTAATCTCCGGTAGAGAGCTTAGAATCATCAAACCTGAGGTAAGGATGGTGTTCTGACTCTCTAATAGGTGGTTTAATTGTGGGTAGGCGATGATATTGAATGTTAGATTTTTTGGGTAAATTATTGTGAAATTGATTGTTGTGATTGCTTGCAATGATGAAATTGATATGTTGATTGTGTTGGAATTGTGATATATGATGTGTGTTGATGAAGAGGATGGGATTTCATAGTAGAAAATTCTGGTTTTTGGGTTTGTTCGCGATGGGTAATCGGTTAGCGTAATTGGGTAACCGGTTACCACTATTTGTGTTTTTGAAACATTGGCTACTGACTTGTAGTAATCGGTTACCGCGAGGAATTTTGGAAAAAGCAGGGTTATTGTCTTGCATAACTGGGTAACCGATTACCGCTGAAGTTGACAGAATTTTTAGAAACTTTGAAAAATCATAATTTTCGCCTCGGGTGTCTGTTTGACACACTGTTTGAACCGTTGGAAAGCTAAAAACATTTTCTATAATATAAAATTATTTTTTATAACAGTGGCCAAATATTTTATCGGAATAGTTGAAATGAATGTGTATGTTGGATGAGTTATGATACTGAATGTCGTGATAAGTTGTGTCTTATCGTACCCATGATGTGCGAAGAACTTACAGGTGATGTTGCAGTACTAAGAAGGTGATGTTATCCTGAAAGTTGGCTTGATGTTGATGGTATACTTGTAATTTCATAATTTTGGTTGTAGCGTGTCGCATTTCATGCATCATTGAGGGCTTATGCCCTGGCCTTTATGGAAAATGTTGAGGGCTTATGCCCTAGCCTTTATGGCAAATGTTAAGGGCTTATGTCATGGCCTTTATGGAAAATGCATAGGGCTTATTCCATGGCCTATATGGAAATTTTTTGAGGGCTTATTCCCTGATAATACCACATGCATCTTGCATCAGAGTCAGTTGCACTGCATTTGTTGAATTGTTGAATTGTGGACTCGTTGAAGTGGTGTGACTAATAAATGTCGAACTTGAAATCTTGCATGATATACCTGTTGTTTAGTCATAATTATATTACTTACCATATTATCATGATATCTCACCCTTACTGTTTGAATGTTTCCTTTACATGGGTAACATTCAGATAACCAAGAGTAATGCGAAGTCGTGGAGTCTAGAAGAGGTTGCTCCTTTTATTTTGAGTGGGTGTCATTGCTCTGATACGTAACACCAGGGGATGAACACTCGATTGTTTTATTTTAGTTGATGTCTTCTTTGAGGAAATTTTGGGAGTGTTGTAGACTCTCTTTTTAATTGATTAATTGTTGATTTTATAATGGCTGAAGATTTTGGAATAATTATGAAATTTTTTCCGCTGCGTTAATAAAATCGAAGTTTGAAGACTATGTTGAAATATTGTCGGTTCATCTGAAATGTGTATTATGTATCTATTTTATCTTAATTGAGCAAATTTAAATATGTTGAATGATGTGACATCCTATTTTGGAGTTTTATTTTACTCTGATTTTTATTAAAATTACCGTTGGGGAAATAAGGTGTTGCAATTGGTATTAGAGTAGGTCAGCTCGTCTGACCAGGTTGTTGAGTCATTAGTGTAGTGTGACAGTAGAGAACTATCGATGTTTTTCTATCTAACTGTTGTTTGATGTTGCGATGTGAAACATAGTAATGGCTGGAAGAGGAAATGGTGCACTTGTTAATACGTTACAGGCTTTGGCTTAGGCAATGCAGAATCAGCCTAATGTTGCAGGGAACAATGGGACTCGTGCCTTAGAAACTTTCTAGAGGAACCATCCACTTATGTTCAAGGGAAAGCATGATCCTGAAGGAGCACAAGAGTGGCTCACAGATATTTAAAGGATCTTTTGAGCCATGGATTGTTCGGATGCACAGAAGGTGCATTTTGGTACGCATATGCTGGAAAGTGAGGCTGATGATTGGTGGGTTACCACTCGCCAGAGGCTTGAAGGCACATGTGAGGATATTACTTGGGCCATGTTTCATAGGGAATTCATGATGAGGTATTACCCAGAGGATGTCAGTGGGAAGAATGAAATCGAATATTTGGAACTAAAGCAAGGAGAATTATCGGTAACTGGGTATGCTGCCAAATTTATGGAGTTGGCGAACTTTTATCCTCATTACACTGAAGAGACGGCTGAATTCTTTAAGTGCGCCAAGTTTGAGAATGGCTTGTGTTCTGAGATTAAGAAGGCCATTGGATATTAGAGGATCTGTAAGTTCCCTGAATTGGTGAATAGCTACAGAATTTATGAAGAGGACAGTAAGGCTCACTACAAAATTGTCAATAAAAATAGGGGCAAGCGATAACAGTATAGTGGGAAGCCTTACAATGCTCCGAAAGACAGGGGTAAGCAGAGGGTGGCTAATGGTAAGAGGACTGGTGGGGGGAGGTGCCCCTACTGATATCGTATGTCATAAATGTGGAAGACCTGATCATCGAAGTAATGCATGTACCAGGGAGGTGAAAAGGTGTTTTCGATGTGGTAAGACTGGATATGAGGTGGCAGAGTGTCAACACAAAGCAGCAATATGTTTCAATTATGATGAAGAAGAACATATTAGCACTCAATGTCAGAAACTGAAGCAAGCTCAGACCGGTGGAAGAGTGTTTGCTTTAGTTGGGACTCATACATTTGGTGGAGACCGCTTGATTAGAGGTATATGTCTCATTAATAGTATTCCTTTAATTATTATTATTGATACTGATGCTACTCATTGTTTTATTGTTGCTGATTATGCTAAAAAGTTGGGTCTTGCCTTGTC